TTCTGAGGGGAACGGAGCGGGAGAGGCTCCAGTTACTCAGAAATTGTTCGGTTCTTACGCTATTTTCTGACGGGGGTAACACTTCTAAAGTTCTGTTTGCACGAGTCTTTGGGACCTTTCTAAAGATTACATGAATGGGACACACTTAATCTTCAAGTCCTTGCTAAGAGTTGCGTGATGGTTAAGATTGTGTGCCAACCTGGCTGGGCCGCGATTCTCAGTGTGTTGGCAGTCGTATGACGTTGTGATCACTTCCATGCTGAGATCTGATATGTGATCAACCCCATGATGGGATCCGCTACGAGTAGCCAGTTAGTTGAAAGGGAGTTTCCTTGGGCGTGCGGCCTGCATCAAATACAAGTGGACATTCTGGCAAGACTTGGGGGCGTTTTACTTGTGCTGGATCCTGCAGCTGGCTCCTGTTCGTCTGACTTCTGGTTCTTGGGACTTGAACTAGCAGCTTACCTGCGGTCTTGTGTGCCAGTCTTGGGATTCATTGATCTTTGCAGCCTGTGAACAAGAGCCCTGCTCTCTGACCTGCTGATCTCGGGTTCACGTCAGCCCCTGCGGCTACGTAGATCTAGAGAAGCCTCTATCCTGACCCATGACTTGGGATGTTCCAGCCTCTACAACCGTGTAAGCCATTTTCTTGACATAAATCTCTCTCTATATATATACTTATATGCTTTTACTGCTGGTTTTGCTTCTCTAAAGAATTCAGCCTAAGACAGGTAGTAATACAAGCTCTACTCAAGACTTGATTTCAAGTGACGTTATCCCAAGTAGAACTATATCCACTGCTGAGGAATCGATTCTGACTCATTGTGACTCTACAGGACAAGAGTAGAACTGCCCATAGAGCTTCCAAGGCTGTAAATCTTTACAGAAGCAGGCTGCCACATCTTGCCCTCATGGAGCACCTGGTGGGTTCAAATCGCCGATCTTTCAGTTAGCAGCTGAGTGCTTAACCACTGTACCCCAAGGGCTCCTCTCAACTAGAACTAGCTGAAGCAAAAGGATAAGTGTATTAGATGCTGGGCATCTTGACATCTGAGGAAGGGCAGGGGCGCCATTAGGTTTCCATATAGGAACCTGGAACAGACCAGCTTCCCCTCACAGCAGGCAACAGCCCACAGCTCCCACCACCAGGGGGGAGAATATCCCAAGGAACGACTCTGACTGGCCTCACTTGGGCCAGGTATCCACCCCTGATCAACCTGTGGCCAGGAAGTCCAAATGCAATGACTGGCTCTGCCTCCATCCCTGACCCGCCCGCCCGCCCAGATGGTGTGTTGGAGCCTTTCAGAGAAGGGAGAATGGAGAGCTAGGCAGACACCCCACCTGAGGTTACCACCCCAGAGTTAAGGGACCCCGGGGCTCGACGGCAGACAACTTGATTGCTGATGGCCTCACAGGGTGGAGGTGATGGATGTCGCAGTCAAGAAAGCACCGTCCTCGTGTGCGATTGAACAGACGTTTATTAAGCACCTACTAAGTGCAAGACAGTGCTGGGCGCCACGGGAATACAGAGCGGTCACAGACGGTCCCTGCCCACGAGGAGCTCACAGTCTAGAAGGGGAGGTAAGACAGTACATGGTCAGCGGCAGTGCACCAGCCCCGGCAGCGGGGCCGAAAGCGGACACAAAGTGCTGTGGGTCACAGAACACTGTGGATGGCTTCGGGCTGGAAGTCCTGGGAGAGGACAGAGGACTCAGGGCTGGGCCTCCGCAGGGAAAGCGTTTCTAGCCGAGAAGAGGTCAGTGAGATCTGGGAAGCTGCACTGTAGCGTCGCGGGGGCAGGGCTGGGGGCTGTACAAAGTGGACGGTCCACCACTATGGGCCAGGAGGTTGACGGCCAAGGACACGACGCTCAAGGGGGCCTGACCCTGATGCACTGGCCACAAGTCACAGAGCTGGGAGCACAGCGTGAAGTCTGGGATGGAGAGGGGGAGCTGGGGCCCAGGTGGGCTGACAGGTCAGGACTGGTGCTCGGGGCGGGAGGACACAGGGGGCTTCATGGGTGGGAAAGGAGAGGGAGGAGCAGGTGCAGGCCAGGGGGAGAGTCTGAGCAGTCACAGAGCCCCCAGGCTGTGCTGGAAATGCATGTCTGGAGGACAGGGCCAGAGGTGGGCTTAAAAGTCACCGCAAACGGGGACGGAGGAATAGAGGGAGAGGCAACATTTCTCCAGATGGGGCCCGTGGACCACCCACATGGGAATCACCCCAGTAATCCACTGGAGCTGCAGGTTCCCAGGTGAGCTGTGAATAAACATCACCAGGGAATCTGCATTTACAGGACCGCCCACCCACACGAGTCCCTCAGGGGTCCAATCTGAGAACTACCCGCTGGGAAAGGGAAAGGAGCCCAGGACTGGCCCAGACATCCATGGAAAGAAGAGGGGTGAAGAGCGTCTCGTACTGAGGGGAGAAGGACAACACAAGGCAAACGGCAGGCAAGACTGCGGCTGCCGCGAGGGGACGCTAAGAGGGGAAGCCTCTGAGCCTGGCACAAGGACCTTTCTGGACTAACTCCATGTGGTGGGTGGGGATGCCAAGTCTGCAAACTGGGGTGTGACAAGCAGGAAGGGAGGGAAAGTGTTAGCCACGAACAGAGCTGATTCTTAGGTGGAAATCAGGTTTCTGAAAAACCCAAACGATCTGAAATATGTGTGGCAGAATAAAGGAGGTAGATAACAAAGCGATGGGGCCAGCCAGAGGCAACACCACAGTCAGGAGCTGAGGGGACAGGGGCTCAGGGACACAGCAGGGAAGGGCAGGGGAGGACAGGGAAGTGCTGGGGGAGAGGCGGAATGTGAAGGGACTGAGGAAGGAAAGCCACAGCTCAGGGATGTGTGGGAGGGTGAGGGCTGGCTAGGGCCCGAGGTGTGAGGGCACCCGGCCCATCTTCAGCAGGCCCGGTACCTGGAGCTACTTTCTGTGGTTGGCCGGGGAGGGTGGGGGCTTCAGTGCGTGCATCCCAGCGTCCTCCTCCACGAGCCACTAGTGCGAGGTGGCAGGACCCGCCCCGCTCTCCCTCCTATGGCAGCAGCAACAGGCCCGAGTAGCTGACGGCACAGCCGAGCCTCCCCAGCAACGCTGACCCACCATGCCATCCAACAAGTCTCTCTTCTCTCAGAGGAGAAGGCTTGGGGCCTGGAACAACTCAGCTCCACCAGCTACCTACACGGCCGGCCTCTCTGAGCACAACGCCTCGTCTACTGGACGACAGTGGCGTCAGGATGCAGAGCCACAGTGCACGCTGGTTCCCTTACTTCCAAAACGAGGCAGCATGGCCACCGACATTGGGGACGCCTATTTAGCATCAACACTGCAGAGGCTGAGAGCAGTCACAACTTGTTTTAAAAGCTTTGATAACTGGGGTTTGACATATTAAATCTGACTAAATTTGATCACAGATGATTACAAAGAAGAATTAATGTTGTCTGTACTCTTCCCTCCCACACCCGAGAGAGGAAGGGATAGGTGGATCTCTCAGAGACATACTGAGAACCAAAAGGCCACATGATTCAAAGGTCATGGGTCAACCCACTTCTCCAGCCTCGGAAACTCCTGAGCCCCGCAACCTCGCCCGTGCCACCTGGCATTAGCAGCTCAGCTCGCTTCCAGGCAGACCCCACCTTAGCCCAGGCGAGCCTCCTGTACCGTCTCTGGAACAGGAGAAATACCGGGCTGGCAAGGCTGTTGGATAAACCTTGAACTGGAAGGTCACGGTCACCACGAGACAGCCTTATACCTCCGCTGTGCTTTTAACAACTAGTTCTGAAGCTGACACACGGGGGCCATGACTGAACTCACCTCCCTGGCTGCCTGGAGTCTTCTGCCTCCGTGCCCACAGCTGGCAGCTGGGGGATGTGGACAGCCTGTCCCCAGGTGACAGCTGACCACTTGTTCACATTAAGATGCACCTTCACGGCACCCCAGAGCAAACACGACCGAAGCACACATCTGGCCACCTGGAGGGTTCTGGATTAACCACCACGGGCAAACTGCGGAGGGATGCGGGGCTCAAACAAGACCAAGAGGAAACACGCCTGGCAGGCAGCATCCTGGGCGGCCACCCAGCTCTGCCGGCGGCCAACGCCGTCCCTTCACGTGAAGAGCAACCAGCATTGACAGCCGCTGCTTCTGGGGCTGGGAGACGTGATCCACGGGCGGACGTCAAAGTTACTGTGAGCAGCCTGGGGACAGAATGAGTACAAAACACAAAGCCCTTTGAAGGTCCAGGTAACAGTAGAAATGTCAAGAATTACCCAGGAAAAGAACTTCACCGACACGGAATTTGGGCAGCACTGAAAACAGCCGACACTGAAGACATCAGCCGAGGAAACTCACAGGAGGGCCGCTTAGCAGGACACGAACGCGACAAACAGGAAAGGAACACGGGGCTCTGGGGCCCCCAGCGCAGCTACCAGCGCTATTTATTGGCTTGGGGCATTCTCAAGAATAAAAAACCAGTTTTTGGCAAAGCGGTACAAACTCCACATCGCGATGTCTCCCGCGGTTGTGGGCACCCCATTACCACAATCATGGGGCTCTTCACGGCACTTCCTCGCACCCACCCTGTCCTTCAGAGGCAAAGACACTGCTTCTGGAGTCCAGTCAGGGGTGGGGCCTGAGCTGGTGGGTACCCCAAGCACTGGAGGGGCCCCGGGCATGTCTGCTGAGCAGGCTGAGCTCTGCTACCTCCCGTGGGGTGTGGGAGGGGAAGAGGGCTGGCCCCCGTGAGGGCTGATACTCTGTGAGCCTAACTCTGCGCCGGGCATTAACAACGAGCAGGCACAAAGTGCCATCTAGTGGCACTTCTGGTCCCCTCACACAAATGAGGAGCACCCCAACTCCTGCCAACCCCAACTACAGGGGTGGGGGCGGGGGGGCGAGCACACTTCATGTTAGTGGACGGGACAGACTCAGCTCAAGAAAATATACTTTAAGAGGTCTTGCCTTCCTTAAGAAAGCAACTCTTTTTTTTTTTTTTTTTATTTAGAAAGGCTAATCATATCCATTTGTCAATATTTTCAGCTTTAAGGAAAATAGTTTAAAAAACATAAAAATGTAAATACACTTGAGAGTTAACTGCTATTAAACAATTCTGAACAGGCAGAAAATGTAGACTTTCCTTTTACAGAAAATGTGAAATCTGTAATAGCAGCATAATTTATATATAGAAAAAAGGTGGTTTTCAAACCTGGATTTTTTTTTATACACAGAACATGGTTTTTTTCTATACAATTCAACAGCGTTTACACTGGGCAACAGGTACTTCACATTATGCTCCTTTCCATCAGTACAGACGTCAGCTCGAGTCCCATCCGTCAGCCCTGAGCTCCGGCCTCTGGAAGCCATGGCAACGCTGTCTTCAATCCAACACCATGGCAGAGAGCGCATTCAGATCTTTCATGTAAGGGTGAGCCACCAGAATCTGGTCGATTTTCAGTCTTTGCTCGGAGTCAGGGAAGATCTTCAGAAGGGCCTCCCTCAGCTCGTTGGTTTCCGCAGAAGACCTCTGGGCTGGCACGGGCAGGTTCTGCTGGCAGCTGGGAAGGAGTGGGAAGGGGGGTTGCTGAGGACGCCAGTGGCTCGGAAGGGCTCCCTGAATCCGGGCTGGAGGCTGGTGGCTGGTGCTGGCTGCCTGGATGCTAGGGACTCGGAAGCTGGGGTCAAACACGCCCACATCTGGCAGGGCTCTGAGGAGGGGCTGCATATCTCTGTGAACGGAAGCGAGTGCTGGTGAGCTGGGTTATAAGACAAGTGAGAAAGCCATCTGAAATACCTGCTCAGCCTGCGGCTCCAGGTGCCCCCTGGGCATCCGTGGCCAGCTACAAGACCACACCCAGTGGGGGTGGTGAGCTCCGTCGCCTGTGCCGGGGCTGCAGGGGCTGCGCCTTTACCGTCTCTAGACGGGTCATGAGAAGGAACAACCGCTCCTCACGAGCTGGCACCACCCTCAGGTCGGCCACCGCAAGGACTGACTTAGCCAAGTTGTTGGGGTCTCTAAACCAGTCACCTGGGCAGCTTTCATGAAGAGGGTTAACGGGGCCTCACCCTCCTGGAGATGCTGAGTCTGTGTGCTGATGATTCTGGCTGACGGAGATTAGAACAAGGGACTCGATTTGGGCAGGGGGCGGCCTCCGCAGACTCACACGCGCCCCCCGCCACGTCTGGGTCGGTGCCCACAACCTTTCTGCACGTGAATGTGTGAACCGTGAGTCAGGGCGTGTACGCGCACGAGCACGCGCCAGGGCGTGTACACTGTTCCAAAGAATCTTCACTGAAAATCTGGCTTACAACTGAGCGCTTTTCCAACTTCAGAAGTTAAGCCTCCGTGGGAGATGTCACCAGCTCCTGAGTCACTGGTGGACACCTTTGGAAAGAGCCATTAGGTGAATGAAAGAAAGGCAGCGGGACCGATCCTGCCGCCATGCTGCTAGAGGGCAAGGAGCCAGAACTCTGTCCCATCACGCCGAGCTCCTGGGCTGTGGCCTTCCACACAGGACTGCCAAGTTAAGATGTTTGGAAGAAAAATAAGATGTACTGACATCCAGCTGTTGAAAAGTGGCGGTCATTCTCTTGGTGTGGATGGAGAAGCATGACCTTTGGGAACTAATTCCTCACCTCTGCAATATGACCCAAAGGTCAAAGGAGAAGTGAGTCCCCAGACCAGGCAGCACAAACCGTGCTGGTCTCCTCTGCAGAAGAGCCCTCTGAAAGAACCCATCCCCACCACCACCCACACTGAATCCACACCCAAAACCCCCAAAGGAGCCTGTTACAGACAGAAGCCGTCGGCTGTGAGGTTTCACTGCCTTGAAAGCTGTGAGCTACGCATCCTCCTCTCAGTTTAAACCCCAACGTCCCATGCAAATGTCTGCTGGGAAATAAACAGAGCGCAGCCTGATTTCATTTTAAAAGGGCCTGTCGCTAGGTTCTGTGGCCTGATAGCCTAGTATCTAAGAAACTTTAGATAACCATGCCCATTACCCGAGAATTCTGAAAATAGAACCAAAAACTAGCAATGTGCCTATACAAACAAAAACAACAACCCTCCCTCCAAACTAAAATAGAACAAAACCTAAACTATCAAATTCCAGATAAATATGGAATACTGGCTCCTCAATTCAGTAGCAGTAGAAAGTGAATGACGGTTCCCCAGGTATTGATAAACATAAGCATAACATTCAAATCCAACAACTCTGGAAAATGGATATAAGAGATATTCACACACATAACAAGCTAAGCAGCAAGTGGCCCCCCAGCTGGGAAAGTGTCTTGTCTTTTTAGACCCATGGAAATGCTCTACTTCCCGTCCTCTCGTAGGATTGAAAGTACAGGGGTCACAATTGAAGATCTGGTCTTTCGGGGTGCTTGCTCGATTAGCTTCCACATACTTTACATCAGTACGGATTTTAAGGCTTTTTTTAATAAACAAAATGCCATTTTTAGTCTTCAACAACGGCATGTGTACTACAGCACAAGGAACTTAACTGAAGTTCACTTTAAAATACAATCAGAAAAAGGAAATACCTAAGGAAGACTTCCTTCCGAAGAAATTCTTCTAACCGAGGTCCACTTCTTCCCAGGGGATCATCAGGAACCATAAATATGTCCCCCACAAAAGTATACTGAAGCAACCTACAACACAGAGAATGATCACAATGCTGAAGAAATCACTAAGTCTTTACTGCTACATGAACTGAGAAGAAAATATCTCACGTACCCATCCAATTCCAAAGCAAATGTCTGCCTGTACATTCTGAAACTGCTTAATTGCCTAATGAGTAAAGCCATTTTAATTTCTCTCTTTTGGATACAAATACAATAGAGTAAGAAACACTCACTCCTCGCTTACCGACACAGTTAGGTTCCAAAGACCAGGTTGTTATGTGAAAATTGGTGTTATGTGAAAATGGAGGATGACTACATCAGATCACAAAATGGAAGATGATTACATCATTACATAACTGCCAAATCACATCATTACATAACTGCCAAACCACTGAGAATCATGGCCCAGCCAAGGTGACACAAAACCTTAACCATCATAGCTAGGATGACTCTCGTCTCGACCTCTGTGTTCGTTACTGCCAGACGTACGTCATTAATGCGCAAAATAGTCGGATAGTAGATTTTTTACTGCTGTCATAAATGCCAAACATCGGATAACAAAGTAGTCAATAAATAAAGAGTAGGTGGAGTGCCTTTCAGATGTTTATCTGGGCTTGGCAAACAGTTCCTTCTCCTCGTATACCTTTCAATATAATTTTGAAAAACAACTGTCAGCTTAGGACACAACAGGGTGAAAAGGGTTCAATGTTTGGATGAAACTGATAATCAGTGTGTCTGCAGACAGTCTTTTTGTTTTTTTAAACAATATGACATATGAAGAAAGAAAATCTGAGGTCAGCAGGACATTACGTATCAAGTCTGGGGGAAAAAATAAAGTCCAAGAGGCTGTGTTGTTACCCAGGCCTCAGCTTCTGACTTACTTTTGTGAACCCTGAAGGCAGTGAGTTGGTTTGAGAACAAGTCGTGACTGCATTTAAACCCTCTGTGCATACAGGTGAATGTTTGATAAACACTGACAACAAACCCAAAGAAAAACCCGACAGAAGCAAGTCCTGGAAGGTTGTTGCTGCTGTTAATTGCCGTGAGGCAGTTTCGACTCATGGCAACCCCATGTGCAGAGTAGAACTGCTCCACGGAGTTTTCAAGACTGGGACCCTTCGGAAGCAGATCGCCAGGCCTGTCTTCCGAGGCGCCTCTGGGTAGGCTCGAACCGCCAACCTTTCATTTAGTCCAGCACTTCACCATCTGTGCCACCCAGCTGCCTGGTCCTGGAAGATTAACCACCAGTTAAATGTGCCCAGAAGGTCAGACACCAATTTTCAGTTCAGCTCTCAACATCAGCTTTTCAATAGCATATGGGTCAAAATGTATACAGTAATTAAATCTCACCTGGGTATTTACAGCAGAGAAAAATACTCTAATGATTTAGCAAAATACAAACACCAGACAAGGAGCAACTGTGAGTCCCCAGTTGGGTAAATAACTCGTTTGACTTATACTTGGTTTGAGGTAGATTTGTTTTACGTTTTAAGGTTTGTGGCACCACCACAGTCCACTGCCTTTTGTTTGCACTCACTGGTCAGGTGATGCTCGTTAACAAAGGTCTGGAAGCCAGTATTTACTGACCTTCGATTTCGGCAGTCGGACACACTCACAGTATCATCACAAATAGAAAACTTACAGCGTGAATGCAGTGTTTTCAATGGCTGATTTTTTGGAAGTAGATTGCCAGGCCTTTCTTCCAAGATGCCTCTGAGTGGACTTGAACCTGCAACCTATCTGTCAGCAGCAGAGAGTATGAACTGTTTGCACCATCCAGGGACTACCCTATGTATACAGCTTGATGAATTTATACAAACTGAACACACCCGTGTGACTAGCATCCCGTTCAAAAAACAGAAGAGGGTCAACACCCAACAGTCCACAAATCTCTCCCTGGCTTTGCCACTTTGTGCTGTATTCTCCCCCTTACCCAGAGGGGCCAAGCATCCTGCAGACTGGGAGCAAATTCTTCCGAGACCTGGGTCCCCTGTACTGCTTTCTGCAGGATCGAGGTGGACAAAATACAAGCAAAATGCAAACAAAAAAATAAGAAGAAAATATTACCTTTTTGTGATAATTTCTCTCCAAGAGACTGACTCAGTCACAAATTCTCTGAAGTTATCATTTGTTACAATTATGCCACCAGTTTTGTCTGCTAAGTGTAGAAGAAACCTATGATAATATAAAAGAGGTTAGATGGGCGGACAGGCGTCCTTGGCTTAGAGACGCTGGTTTAAAAGAAAACAAAAGGATTTCCTCTTTGTAGGAAAATCACCAAAGAAATTTCACCGAGGCTGGGAAGCAAAGAAGTTAGGGAACTGCCAACGGAGGATCCATCAGAAAAGCTGAACACCTCTGAGATTATCAGTGATCATTCAAGCAGACCTGCTGCTCACCCCATCAATTAACTCCTCCTTTTATCTCAACTGTAATTTATATTTTTCTAGGAACATCGTATTATTCATAAATAGTGGTAATAGCATAACGCCTGAGGTCCAGAGCAAAGAGGGAAACAGCTGACAGCCTGTGAACCCCTACCCAGTTCTCAGTCGCTAGGCTACAGTACTAATCCCACCCAGTTCTCAGTCGCTAGGCTATAGTACTAATCTCACCCAGTTTTCAGTCGCTAGGCTACAGTACTAATCCCACCCAGTTCTCAGCTGCTAGGCTACAGTACTCACCCTACCCAGTTCTCAGTAGCTAGGCTACAGTACTAATCCCACCCAGTTCTCAGTCGTTAGGCTACGGTAGCAATCCTACCCAGATGTCAGTCTCTAGGCTACGGTACCAATCCCACCCAGTTCTCAGTCGCTAGGCTGCAGTACTATCCTACCCAGTTCTCAGTCAGTAGGCTACAGTACTTTTCTGCTAAGATTCACTGCTTGGTACAGTCAGCCTTGCAGTTTTTTTTTTTTTTAATTCATAGGTTCCCATTTTCTGCTCTGACTTTAGAAGATGTCTAGAACTGCCATTCTGTTTAGCCTAAGTTACAGATTCATTTAAATGCAAGTTATCAAAGGATACACAGCGATGAAAAAGGGTAAGAACTAAGCGTTAAAGAGAAATTCTGTTCCGTTGCTGGAAATTACTTGTGTTCCAACCCTCTTAATGAATGAGACACTTGGGAGGCTAACGGGTTTTATCCCTTAGGGTGACCCATTTGTCTAAGGCAATGTAGACAAAGACAATGAAACAATAAATTAAGAGAATCACCGAAATTAAAGTGTAAACAACTGATTTCATTATTGGTAGTGAATACTTACAGGGGTTTTAAAAAGTACACCTCATTAGAAAACCTGGCACAGAAATACGATTTAGCTCCTTGGATTCACTACCAAACATTTTACAAATAACTTCTAACTGCACATGAATCCAGTTCTGCTGGTGTGAGAACACAGCTGTGGTGGCCGAGGACCTGAAGGTTCTTCGTGAGCCCAGAGCGTACCTGCTCTGCTACCTGGGCACTCCTGGGGCCCTGGCCGGCCTAAGAGGCCTGGAGCAGACGTGCCCTCCCATCCCAGCCTCCCAGGACTTTCTCATCCCGTGGCCCTGCCCACGGACTGTTCTCCCTCAGTCTCCTCCCGGGGTGCTGTCCTGTCGCCTCCCCGGCTGGCTCTCCCCATCTGACCCGGTCTCGGACCAGCCTGGTGAAGAGCAGGGGCTATGAGGGAGAAGGCCCTCTGGACCTTTTGCTGCTTAAGTGTCTGCTGCCACCCCAAGTCCCCTCCCCACCAGGCTCCTCTTCCCGTCTCTGACCCATCCGACCATCATTCACTAGCTGGGCTCACAAGCAATGACTGATGCATCTTCACGGAGGAAGCCAGGCGGGGCTGAAGCGCCAAAGGCGAGAAAGTCAACAGGGGACATGCAGGAGCACAGAGGAAAATCTGCCACCATTTATCTTCTCGGATCCATTTATCTTCTCGGATGCCAGCAGACTTGCCACAACTGGAGGAGGGGTAAAGACTGAGTCCCGATGCTCCGCGCCAGGCCTGATCTTTC